CCATTTCCAACATATTGATACTATTATTTTGCTAGGTAAAGAAATTTCCCTGTAAACATTCTCTTTTAAAAGTAGGTTAATAGAAGATTAACTGAGAGGATTATGTTTTTTAAAAAATGGGTTCGTTCAAATAATTAATATGCAAGCAAAGGGAATGCAGTCTGCAGTCTCTTTTCCCACTTACATGCTTTTCTATCCTCTGTAGATGTGGTAGCTTGAAAGTAATACCTTAGACCCAAAAAGTAAATCAGAGCTGAAATGACCTGAGAGAAGAGATCTCCAAAGAGGTGTGAACTTGCCTCGGAGAGTGTCTAGAAATAAATTACTGAGGTTTAGAAAGAAAACTATTAGAATTTATAGATTTTTATGTTCCTCTTAATTTGTCTTTTATATTGTGTAAGTTTTAATATAGTCATAACGTAGTACTTATTGTCATACAAATAGATATCTGGAGGGGGATTCAAATTCAAGAGATGGAAGCATGTGACCAAACAAGCTGGGAGATTATGGGTTTGGGATCTTGGAAGCAATCTGGGATCTCATCATATTCAATCCTTCATTTTACAAATAAAAATTTATTTACAAATAAAACTCCAGGTCTGGTCAAAGGACAAGTTTGTCAGCAACACATACCAGTGTTGCTAAATCTTACTGAGGTACTCTCAAGAAAGCGAGACTAACACAGTGATAAATGATTTTCCTGAAATAGCTGGGCAACTTGTAGGAAAGTGTCAGACTTCTTCCTCCAGCGTAGCACAAATTTCAACCAGCGATACCTAGAACAGTTTCCTTTTTTGTGTGTGTGAAAAATGGCACCTGATCAATTTCCCCACTGCCAGGAGAGGCCGCCTGCCATGTCTGTACTCCCATTGGCCAGCTCTCCTTGGCCTGCATCTGCCTTCTTTTCCTGTGGAAATAAAATATACAGGCAGGAGAAAGGACATATTTGGTAATGCTCTGCTCCTCAGCTTCCTGCTCAGGCTGTCTCAGCTGCAAAATGTCAAGGGAAAAAAATATCCCTCCAACTTGGAATGAATTCCAGACAGACCCTGATGCCTGCAAATTTGTCAAAGGGAGCCAAGTCCAGAGCAGCCGAACATGAAGAAGGCTCATTATTTGACTTCAAGAGACGCTCACATAATCAGACACTCTGGTATTTATGATTTTCCCCGTTTCAGATGGTCTGTAGTTCACAACATTCCCCTCCCTTTACCGCTGATTCTGAGCTTCCTTTTAAATTAAACCTCAACAGTTATAAAAAGACTCTCACATTACTTGGAAGCCACAAGCACTACACGGAAACACTCCCTTCACACAGGACTGTTCAGGGCTGGAGAAGGGCAGCTCTTTTTGATGATTAGTCTGGGGAGGGTGAGCCAGGAAGTCAGGCTCCCTTCACCTTGACCATGCCACAGCAGTCCTCACCTGGCTCCCATGTCTAGGCCAAGGCCTCCTGCCACTCACAGTATTAAATATGACGATCTTTACTAAAAAGAGCTTACTTATTTCCATTGGCTTTATTTTTCATTTTAGTTTTTCTTTTCACTGGGGGAAGGGCATGGTCTAACTTGTATATCTTAACTGTCTCTCCTTGCAAATATACCACGCAGGACAGTTTGTAAGGTTGTGTTGGGAGGGACCTTCATCTTTCTCTGTGCATTCAGCACGTTTTGCTTCTCTTTTCATCAATGGCCCACATGGAGGCAGAAAGGTAAGGAAACTGAGTTTGTAATCCAAACCTCATTAAATTGCCACATACACATTTTCCCTTCTGCTTCTCGCTCTTTGTTTTTAAATGCCATGGTATTTGTTTGTACTTGGTCACCCTAAATCCTTATTTGGGTTCTCCAAGATGCACGAAGGCATCCAAGTATCAATTTTAGCAACGGGTGGAAGTGGCCACCTGAGGAATGGGATGTTCAGTCTTAACATGTGGTCTCTGGGAATAAGGGTCTTCTTTTTCCTCTTTCCCTACACTGTCCAGCACCTCTATGCTGGTTTTGCTCTTCAACAGTCTCGGGTCTGTGCTACTCCCATGGTGATCAACTGTTAGGTCATAAACATTAGATGTGGCATCACTGGATGAGTCACTGGGGAGGAAGCTGGGCAGGAAACAGACGGGAACCTCTGTTGACAGATGGATGCCTTCTTAATCACAGCTGTGTGGGTGGAGGGAAAGCCTTGCCCAGCCCACCCCTGACATGGATTCACAGTCGAGGAGGCTGGGAAAGTCCATCTCTGGGGAATACCATTTCCCCCTCTTCCAGGCCTCTCACCATGCACCCATGTCACTAGAAGGAGGCAGAAATGAACGAGGGAACTCTTTCTTGTTATTTCTGAAGGATCAGCAAAGTGAAGGTGCTTTCAGTTTTGAAAACCCTATACAGTTCCTTCTTAAATGTAAATCAAGTTTATATTAATAGAGTTGTCTATTGTTCAGCACAAAATCTAGGAGATACTCAAGTACCTTATACAAAATAGTGTAGTATTTACATGTAACCTATATTCACCATCCCATATGCTTTAGATGACTTACAATATCTAGTACAATGTAAATGTTATGTAAATAGTTGTTATACCATATATTTTATGGAATAAAGACAAGAACAAAAGAGTTTGTACATGTTCAATATAGATACAACTTTTTTCCCCCCAAATATTTTCAATTTGCAGTTGGTTGAATACAAATGTGAAATCAACAGATGTAGAAGGCCAATAGTTTATTCCATTCCATCAATTTTCCCTGTCTCTGTTAAGTACCAGGTACTATTGGGAAGATTCTTCTTTTATCACATTTTTAAAAGGTAATTCCCTGAACCCATACTTTAGTTTATAAGAATTAGTTTAACATCTCTGAATCTGGAATTTCAGAGAACACTATGTCAAGAGAGGAGACTGGTCAGCAAGATGAACAATGCCTTTTGCTGTAGCTCCTATCAAGACTGCTCAGTATTTCTGCCAACCTGTTAGCTTTTATTATTCAGGCATTTTAGATCTGAAAGAGAACATTCCATCAAGGGATCAGGTTTTATCATTTTACTGGAATGCAACGTAAGACCACAGAAACTCTATAGTACAATTTTACCATGGCTCAGATTAATAATAGATAGCACATGAATGGTGTACCCCACCCCTATTCCCCTATTCCTATTCATTTATTCTATTCTCTGTTAAGAATAGAATAAATGAAAATAATTTGAAAATCTTACAGGGAGACTCAGCCAGACATAAGGGAAGAAACTTTTGGCAAGAAAGACAAAAAGACTTGTGAAGTTTGCCTCTTGGAGAGAGACTTTTATTTAAGAGTATCTTGGAAGAGTGTGTTTGGATAATTAAGATGCAGTCTTGATGTTGTGATGGGGACAAAGTTATATAATTTTCAGGGTTTTCTTCAAGATCAAGAGTCTTCAAGTTGTTAAAAAAATTACTCTGTGCATTACTCACAGAGTTGTTATTCATGGACAGCCCTCAGTAGGATCCAGGCTACTTCCACATATCAAAGTCAGATTCTCCTTGCTGGAAGGTGGATGAGGAGTCATTCATTCCAACCATCTTGCTTCACCCATGAATTCACAGAGGCATAGCGAGGTCACTGCTAGGTAGCCAGCAGAAGAGTTGGGCCTAAAACTCAGATCCTTTGGCCTCTATTCAGTGTGTTCTCTGCACTGTACTTTCACTAAAAATATAAATCTATTCATGACATGGCTCTATGTCTACCTACCTGGGCCATTACAAGCTTGACATTCTAGAAATGCTTTTGTAAGAATTTTATTACATGAGCTGAGACAGAAATATGAGGAACCCTGAGGATTAGAATGGCTAAATATCACAACTTAGAAGAAAAATTTAGGCAAAAATACTAAAGAGGAAATGCTGGTTGTATGAACACATTTCTGCTCACGCAATAAGGTAAAACACTAGGGCTGGAGTTGTGACTCAATAGTAGAGCACTGGCATGGTATGTGTGAGGCCCTGTGTTCAAACCTCTGCACTGTATATAAATAAGTAAGTAAAATAAAAGATGCATTTATGAAAAAAATAAGGTAAAACACTAAATTTGAGATCCAACTTTCTCTTTTGCTCTATATCACAGACACATACAGATTCCCCACACAAATCTGTTTCATATATTTCTCCCCAGTGTGGGTACTTCTGATTTCAAGTTTGTTAACTTCCCTTAGGAAAACTTCTGTTTTATCTATACAAATGTAAAATCAGACCTAATTTTATCTCTCTTGTTTTATAATCTTTGAAATGGGTAATATTGCCTCATCTTAGATGACATCCCAACAGCCTTAATTTCTCTGTTACATATTCATTATTTTTTTTCTTTTGAATCCTGTAGGGCAATCTTTTTCATATAGGAAGCCCAGCTGAGTTATTCCAGCTTTCTCTGCATTTGAGGGACTTCCTCAACCCACTATAGATCAAAGTCAAGCCTTGTGAATGATTTTAGGAAGCCAGCATTGTTAATTATAAGAAGTAAAATAACTACTTTGTAGGACAAAATTCTCACTTAAAGCTGATAATAATATCTCTCTCTTCTTCTTATGTTAGACTTTTAAACTTCTTTTCTGCACTTCTAATGAAATCATGACATCATTGAATATATTATATGAGTAGGGAATTTCATAATGGGTGTAAGGAGCTCCTAAAGTCAAGTTAATCCCAGGAAACAGTACCAGTTGGCATCTAGTAGTGTCAAAGTACTAGCTCATTAGTACCCATGAATACATTAGCTTTACACCCAGGATCTCAGCATAGGAAAAAATGAGAGCTACATTTTGATAGTAAACATAAAAGATTGATATGATTTGGATATGAAGCATCCCTCCAAAACTCATGTGTTGAAGACTTTGTTCCCAATGCAAAAGTGTTCAGAGGTGAAGCTCTTGAAAAGTGATTGTATCACAAGGGCTCTGACTTCATCAATGGGTTAATCCAACCATGAGTTCATAGCTGATGGCTTTTTTGGGAGATGGTAGAAACTGTAGGAGGTGAGGCCTAATTGAAGGAAGTAGGTCACTGGGGACATGCCCTGGAAAGGTATTCTTTGTTCCTGGCTCCTTGCTTGTTTCTCTCTCCAAACCCTTACACTCCTTTCTGCTTTCTGGCCACTATGAGCTAAACAGCTCTCCTTCCACATCCTCTCCTCCATGATGCCCTGTCTCACCATAGGGCCATAGACAGCTGACCATGTACTGGAATTGTAAGCCAAAACAAATCTTTGTTCCTTTCTTTTTCTCTTATTTTTTTTTTCTCACTGTCTGAAAGCCAACACAAAGGTCCTAATAGATGATTCTGGAAAGAGAAGCCATAAGGATTAAGGGGAGAATAAGAGACAGAATATCAATGAACACTGTCACAGAATTACAGCTTTCTCTTTACCTGCTTGGGGAAGGGGATGTATTTCTACAAGCAGTCTTATTGTATTTGTTTGCTTCTTTCTCAAATTCTGCACTTTCATTGATCTACTTAATCTTCAGAATGAGTTAAAAGAATAAATTACGTGTCAACAGAGGATATGCTGGAGCCATATTTACACTAATGTCTAGTATACATGTGCATTAGTGTAAATATTTTAAAAGGTTAAACAAGTAATCTAATATTCAAATTTTATTGGGGGGGTGTTACGTGTGTTGGGTAAGGTAAGCAAGAGGAAGAAAGTAAAAGGGAATTCAGGACACAGACACACACACCATTCTGTTGTTTCTATTTCTCTGAAGAACTTTTTTTTTTTATATTTATTTTTAAATATATATATATATATATATATATATGTATTTTGAAAGAGATGTTAAAGGCATTGGTTATAAAGGTGTGGCAATTCCAAAATCTGCAGGATAAGCCCACAGTCTGGAGACAAGGAAAGAGTTGAAATTTAAGTCCAAATACAGTTGGCTGGCAGATTGCTTCTTGCTTGGGAAGGTTCATGTTTTTCACTTAAGGTCTATATGGATGAAACCTACACACATTATGAAACATTGTCTGCTTTACTCAAAATCTACTGATTAGAATATTAATCCTATTTTTATATTTAATATTTTTATTGTTTTAAATTTAATGTTATTTATATATTTATGTTAATTAGGTATATATGACAGCAGAATGTATTTTGATTCAGGACCAGATAGATACAGAGCAAAGTTCAATAACACCTTTAAGGAAGAACAAATACCAATACTCTTCAATTTATTTCAGGAAATAAAAAAAAAGAGGGAGGAGCACTTCCAAACTTATTCTCTGAGGCCAATGTCACCCTGATTCCAAAACCAGGCAAAGACACAGCAAAGGAAAAAAAAAAAAAACTTCAGACCAATATCTCTAATGAACATAGATGCAAAAATTCTCAATAAAATTCTGGCAAATCTTATACAAAAACATATTAAAAATATAGTTCACCACAATCAAGTGGAGTTTATCCTGGGGATGTAAAGTTGGTTCAGTATATGGAAATCAATAAATGTAATTCATCACATCAATAAACTTAAAACCATATGATCATCTCAACAGATGCACAAAAAGCATTCAACAAAATACAGCACCCTTTCATGTTCAAAACACTAGAAAAACTAAGAGTAACAGGAATATATCTCAACATTGTAAAAGCTATCTATGCTAAGCCCCAGGCCAATATCATTATAAATGGAGAAAAATTGAAAGCATTCCCTCTAAAAACTGGAACAAGACAAGGATGCTCTCTTTCATCTCTTCTATTTAATATAGTTCTTGAAACACTGGCCAGAGCAATTAGACAAAAGAAATCAAAGGGATACAGATAAGAAAAGAAGAAATTAGCACTATTTGCTGATGATATGATTCTATACCTAGAAGAACCAAAAAATTCTACCAGGAAAATTTTAGAACTAGTAAATGAATTCAGCAAAGTAGCAGGATGCAAAATAAACAGCCATAAATCAAAGGCATTTCTGTATATCAGTAACAAATCCTGAGAAAGGCAAATGAGGAAAACTACCCTATTTACAATAGCCTCAAAAACACACACACACACACAAAAAAAAACTTTGGAATCAATCTAATAAACGAGGTGACAGACCTCTACAATGAAAACTATAGAATGCTAAGAAAGAAATTAATGAAGACGTTAGAAGATGAAAAGATCTCCCTTGTTCTTGGATAGGCAGAATTATTATTGTCAAAATGACCATACTACCAAAAGCACTATACAGATTTAATGCAATTCCAATCAAAATTCCAATGTCATTCCTCATAGAAAAAGAAAAAGCAGCATTAAAATTTATCTGGAAAAATAAGAGACCCAGAATAGCCAAAGAAATCCTTACCAAGAAGAGTGAAGCACAGGTATCATCACTATACCAGACCTTAAACTATACTACAGAGCAATAGTAATAAAAAAAAACATGGAATTTACACCAATAGACTGGTAGACCAATGGTACAGAATAGAGGACACAAAGACGAATCCACATAATTACAGTTGTATTAGACAAGGGCGCCAAAAACATACATTGGAGAAAAGATAGCCTCTTCAACAAATGGCGCTGGGAAAACTCGAAATCCATGTGCAACAAAATGAAATTAAACCCCTATCTCTCACCATGCACAAAACTCAAAGTGAATCAAGGACCTAAGAATAAAACTAGAGACCCTGCGTCTAACAGAAGACAGAGTAGACCCAAATCTCCACCATATTGGATTAGTCTTCTACTTCCTTAATAAGAATCCTATAGCACAAGAATTAAAATCAAGAATTAATAAATGGCATGGATTCAAACTAAAAAGCTTCTCAGCAAAGCAACTATCAGTAATGTGAATAGAGAGCCTACAGTTTGGGAGCAAATTTTTACCACTTGCACATCAGAGAGAGCACTAATCTCTAAGATATATAAAGAATTCAAAAAGCTAAACACCAAAACCACAAATAACCCAATCAATAAATGAACCAAGGAACTGAACAGACAGTTCTCAGAAAGTGATATACAATCAATCAACAAATATATTAAAAAGTGTTCAATATCTCTAGCAATTAGAGAAATGCAAATCAAAACTACTCTAAGATTTCATCTCACTCCTGACAGATGGCAGTTTTTAAGAATACAAACAACAATAAGTGTTGGTGAGGATGTGGGGAAAAAGGCACACTCATACATTGCTGGTGGGACTGAAAAATGGTGCAGCCAATATGGAAAGCAGTATGGAGATTCCTTGGAAACCAAGAATGGAACTGCCTTTTAACCCAGCTATCCCACTCCTTGGTCTATACCCAGAGGACCTAAAACCAGCATACTACAGGGACACAGCTACATCAATGTTTATTGCAGCACAATTCACAATAGCTAAACTGTGGAACCAACCTAGATGCCCTTCAGTAGACGAATGGATAAAGAAATACACACACACACACACACACACACACACACACACATGCATGCATACACACACAATGGAATATTATTCAGCAATAAAAGAATAAAATCATGGCATTTGCAGGTAAATGGATGAAGTTGTAGAATATAATGCTAAGTAAAGTTAGCCAATCCCAAAAAACCAAATACTGAATGTTTTCTCTGATATAAGGAGGCTGATTCATAGTGAGGTGGGGAGGGGGAGCATGGGAGGATTACATGAACTCTAGATAGGGCAAAGGATTGGGAGGGGAACGGAAGGGGCATGGGGGTAGAAAAGATGGTGGAAGAGATGGACATCATTACCCTTATTACATGTATAAAGACATGAATTCTGTGAATATACTTTGTATACAACCAGAAATATGAAAAATTGTGCTCTATATGTGTAATATGAATTGTAATACATTCTGCTGTCATATATAGAAAATTAAAATTTAATCTTTTATTGTTTTAAATTTAATTTTATTATTTATTTATTTGAATTAGGTGTATATGATATCAGAATGCATTTTGATTCATTGTACCCAATTGCAGCACAACTTTTCATTTCTCTGGTTGTACACAGTGTAGCATCACACATATGAGCAGGGTATTACCCTATTACTAGGATAATAATGTCCATCTCATTCCACCATCTTTCTTGTCCCCATACCCCCTTCCCCAGCTTTGTTCAATTGAAGTTCCTCCATTTTTCTCACCCCCCCATTATGGATCAACATCCACTTATCAAAGAGCACATTCAGCCTTTTGGTTTTTGGAATTGGCTTAATTCACTTAGCATGATATTCTCCAACTCCATCTATATACCTGGAAATGCCATAATTTTATTCTCTTTTAATGCTTATTAATATTCCATTGTGTATATACACCACAGTTTCTTTATCGATTCATCTATTGAAGGGCATCTAGCTTGCTCCCACAGTTTAGCTATTATGAATTGTGCTGCTGTGAACATTGATGTGGCTGCATTACTATAGTATGCTAATTTTAAGTCCATTGGGTATGAGATCGCTGGGTCAAATATTCCATTCTAAGTTTTCTAAGGAATCTCCATACTTCTCACACCAATTTGCAGTCCCACCAGCACTGTATGAGTGTGCCTTTTCCCCTGAATCCTCGCCAACACTTATTGTTGTTTATATTCTTGATAAGTGCCATTGTGACTAGAGTGAGATGAAATCTTAGAGTAGTTTTGATTTTTATTTTTCTAATTACTAGAGATGTTGAACATTTCTTCTTTTGTTGATCAATTGTATATCTTCTTCTGAGAAGTGTCTGTTCAGCTCCTTAGCCTATTTATTGATTGGATTTTTTTGGTGTTACATTTTTTGAGTTCTTTATATATCCTGGGATTACTGTGCTATCTGAGGTGTGTGTGGCAAAAATTGGCTCCAAAAATGTAGGTTCTCTCTTCCCCTCAAGGAATGTTAATCCTATTTTAAAACTAACCATCATAGAACAAGTGTCTGGCTATCATGGCCTAATCAAGTTGACATATAAAATTAGCCATAACACATGCTAATCACAGTTGTAAGAACTTTGGATATAGCCATTATAATTGCATGCAGTTTGGGGGCTGGGGATGTGGCCCAAGTGGTAGCGTGCTCACCTGGCATGTATGAGGCACTGGGTTCGATCCTCAGCACCACATAAAAAT